ATTTCAACAAAAAAATGCGTGTGTTTCAATGCTCAGAGCATCTGAATGCCAATGTCTCAAAGGCCAGACGTAGTCTGGCCATACAAATTCAACAAGTGTTATTATAGCAAAGCAAAAACAATGGAAAAGTACTGCTTCACAACATTGTCCTGCAATGGTAAAAACCTTGAAACCGAGACATTCTTTTATTTCTTACAAACCATACAACCATAAGATTAAAACAACAATAGCGAGCATTGCGAGAGAAAGAAAATAATTAAAAGATTAACGAATATAAAAACATAGAATGACAAATGCATAACAATAATACAATTATTAAAAACAATGATTAATAAAAAAAAATATTCATCTGAAATAATCGACAGTCAGTTCATTATTGTTCTAATAATCTTTGATTAATTAATAAATACAGTTGTTTGATGCAGTCTTAAAGATAAGAACTCAAACTACTTGCTGTAATTTCAGACATGCATTTTTTTTTATGACCGATTAGAGAAGAAAAATGAGTGAATCTCTTCCCACATGAATGGCAGTGATATGGCTTCTCTCCAGTGTGGATCCTCTCATGTATTCTCAGATATGTTGACCGTTTGAATCTCTTGTCACAGTGTGAGCACTTGTAAGGTGTTTCTCTAGTGTGAACTGTCTGGTGCACTTTCAGTGCGCCATCTGTAAAAAAAGTCTTACCACACTCAGAGCAAGCATGATCCTTCACACCGCTGTGTCTTTTCTGGTGTATTTTTAAATTACCAATCTGTCTAAAAGTCTTTCCACACAAAGAACATACATAAGGCTTCTCCTTAGTATGAACTTTCATGTGGTCCTTCAGGAAATCTGCCCTAAAAAACTTCTTACCGCATTGGTCACAGTTAAATAATCTTTTTCTAGAATGAGTAAGCAGATGTACTTTAAAAACGCCTGATTTTCTGAAACTCTTTCCACACTGATCACACTTGTGCAGATTCTCTCCAGTGTGGATTTTCATGTGATCATTAAGGGCTCCTTTTCGTGCGTAACTCTTTCCACACGGAGCACATGTGTGTGGTTTCTCTCCAGTGTGAATTGTCATGTGTTCATTAAGGTTTGTTTTATGTGCGAAACACTTCCCACACTGGTCACATGCGAATGGCCTCTCCCCAGTGTGGACTTTCATGTGTTCGTTAAGGTTTCTTTTTTGTGGGAAACCCTTCCCACACTGATCACATGTGTATGGTTTCGCTGCAGTGTGGATTTTCATGTGTTCATTAAGGTTTCCATTTTGTGCAAAGCTCTTCCCACACTGATCACATTTGTGCGGCTTCTCTCCAGTGTGGATCCTCATATGTTCGTCAAGGTTTCCTTTAAATGGGAAACTCTTCCCACATTGATCACATTTATACGGCCTTTCCAGGTTGTGGATTTGTTTATGTTCATCAAGGTTTTGTTTTTGTCCAAAACTCTGCCCACACTGATCACAGATGTGTGGCTTCTCTGCAGTGTGAATTTTCATGTGTTCAATAAGGTTTCCTTTTATTGTGAAAATCTTCTCGCACTCATCACAGGCATATGGCTTTCCTCCACGATGAAATTTTATGTGAAGTTCAAGATTTTGCTTGCATGAGAAACTCTTTCCACACTGAGGGCAAGTGAAACATATATTCTTATTTTTCAATGAGGATCTCCAGGATGTTTCTTCAGTTTTGAACTGATGTTTCTCCCCCACTTCAGTGAGTCCTTCAATTTTCTTGTTCTCTTCAATCAGGTCTAAAATAAAAGTAAAAAAAAAATAATAATAAAAAGTTTAGAAAGTTTCAATAGTTTGATTTTCAGCAAATCCCAAAAAAAGAAAATGTAAATTATTAAATTAAATTAAAACTCAGAGAGAAATGTGAAAGGAAAAGTATCCAGACATAATAGTGGAAATATGAACATTATGACGCATTCATTTGAATTGGGTAAATTTATCATCCAATTATTATTTTTAAACATAACAACTGTGAGACTTAAGTTGCAATAGATACAAGACATCTAGCAAACATTACTTCACATTACTTACATTTAATGTTAGCATTATCTGTAGATCTCAATTTCTGTACAGTCTAATCTCTAATCATCAAACCATTCGAATGTCATCAAAAGAAATTGTTCTTTTAACCTCAAAAAGCAATTTAATGTTTCTAAGAACAATTGTTCTCTTTGAAATACAAATCTTTTGAAATTACAGTAATCCCACGTATTCAGACCTGACATAACTCAAAGCAAATGACCCGAAGCACTCAAATTATAAAACATTTTCACAAGCTTACCGTTGTGAAACAGGCAAAGGTATGGAGATGGTTTTGAACACTCAGTTCTTGTAATTGTACTTGCTCAGCAATTGATTTTGGATCATTTTTAATAAAAAGGTTTTGCAGCTTTAAGTATTATACCTTATTAAAGAATTAAGAACAAACACCAACCGATTTGTTGTTCAATATCTTCCTGTTTTATTTCGCCGGGCTCTGGAACATTCATGTTTTCAGTTTTCTTTCACAAACTTTATCTTCTTCACTTTTAGGCTAATGGGGCCATTCCTTGGTGAACTGCTGTGAAGACACTGAACTGTAGGTGAATTGCTGTGAGGTAGGAGCAACAGAAATGCCAAAATCTAAAATAAATCAGTTATCAAATCAATTCTTTCATCATCAAATAGAGTGTTACAATTAAGGCTCTTCATGTCAATAATAGATCAAGTTAAAAATACAAAAATTAAATACGCAGATGTGAATTTGTTTGAAAACAAATCAATACTTGTCATACTTGACTTTTGTGGCATTCAAAAACAATACCATTATTGCTCCAAATAATCGAAATGATCAAACACACGAGCATAAAAACACACACAAAATCACAGGTCTTCATGTTTTTAGCATTAGTTCCTCATATCGTTGTCTGCTAGGCTTAATGTTTTCAGTCAGCAGACGCCAGAAAAGACGCGCAAATAGCACTAAACCAGATGAAAACTAAACAGAATGTCTCGGTAAAGTGCTGCTTTAACAAACTCTCTTTTTATAATTGTACAGTTATATGAAGCACCGTGAACTGGCTGTTTTACCTCAGGAGACCCAACGCTGACTGATAACGTCGTCTTGTTGTTTCACGGCGGATCGTTGACACACAAGTGCATTACTGCCACCTATCGCCGGATGGCACATTGATGGGTGTTGTTTTTATCCCGATCTATATGGAAGTCGAGAGACATTTTATTGCTCAACACACAGAAGATAAGCTTTGTAAAGGTGTAAATCGCGTTGCATAAGAAAAACTGATTTGCAGCATTTTACTGTTACTCGTAAGTGTAATTCAAGCATTGTGAAACTGCAGTTTCATGCTATATATTAGCCAGCCGGCTTAAGCAGATTATATATCTTTCGCAGTCATCTCTGATAAGGAAACCACCCACCATCATCAAAGATGCAAAATACTAATTTCTCACAGGCTAACAAGTTCTTTCAGCATTGCCACTGCAGCAGTAACATGCATTGTCTGGAATGAAAATATAATTTAAATTCATTGGCATGCTTATCACAAACACTGGTATAATGCTTTGTTTCACTTTGTATTATTGTGTAAAAGGCCTCTTTTTAAAAAAAGAATAAACATGAGATATTTCACACTTTAGTTATTTTAGGGGACCAACTCACCCATGTGGTTTTGTTGGTGAAAAGTGCATGTATTTTTAGGGTGACCATATGTGCCATTTTCCCAGGATGTGTCCTGGCCAGGATTTCTATATTGCCTAAAATATCTAGGTTTTGGCTTTGTTTGCGTGTGCAGACCGATCGGTGTATGACATCAAAATACCTCGAGAGCATTTTGAAAGCATAAGGAACCGTCTGTATGGTATTTTGATGTCATACACCGATCGGTCTGCACGCAAACAAAGCCAAAACCTAGATATTTTAGGCAATATAGAAATCCTGGCCAGGACGCGTCCTGGGAAAATGGCATGTATGGTCACCCTATGTATTTTACACACAAGAATGTACGTGTGTGTAAGTGTGTTGTTGTGTCTGTGACCGCAGCGAGTGGATGAAAGGCTTTTTATGGTCATGTGAAACCCTTTACACTTCACTGGAAACAAATGTGAAAATGTTTTGCAGAATTAAGCTAAAAGAGCTTAGTGGTCATCTTTCATGCAGAATTGATAGATTAACCTGTAGACTTAAAGACAATTTAGATTTATTTTAATCTCAAAAAGGAATTGTTGTTATGACTTTGATTTATATGCTGAAGTGTAACCCCAATAGAAATCCAATGTAAGCACATTTTGCTCTACAAAAGCAGGTCATAGGTCAGAGTGGTAAACACTAAATGCTCATAAACATTGTTTTTGTTTGTTTGTTTTTTATATTAAATATCCATTTGATTAGGTTTTGCGTAGGTCATATGATGCAGACTTTCTAAAATATGCTAAATCTTTAATCCACCAAGAATGATAATATGCTAACCCCAACAACTGAGAGTGCAATGCTGTAACAATAGAGAACATGACAAACATCAGCATCTGCTGTCTAGTCGAATCAAATTGGAAAACGTTTCTTGTTTTGTGAGTAAATCCAGGACCCTGGATTTAGTTTTGTCCCTGTGCTGATGTTCATTCAGAGGTTACACGATATCGTAGTAGTTTTCTAAACACGGTGATGTATCACATATCTATCAGCAGCATTTGACATGACTAACAGAGTAATTAATTAAAATAAAGTTACTTGCAAAATTATGACCATTAAAGAACAGCTAGATTGCTTTTAAGATGAAAGCTATGATATATTTATACTATAAAAAAAACTGGAATTTGAGGGGGAGGGAGAAAGAGGAAGAGAGAGAGAGAGAGAGAGAGAGTTCAAACCCATTTTCACATCGCTGGATTGTCCTTCACTTGTAAATGCTTTTAATTCTTCTATGGTCATATTTGTGGAGTAGATGATCATTGAATTGTGCCATTTGGAAGTTATAAAAATCAAAGAGCCTTTTAAATGAAAATGATTAACACAGCAACTTTATTCTCTCTGGGTCTCTTGAGCTTGAGTGGTATGTGTTTTATATCCTTTTTATGACATGTAATTTGGTAATAGTATGGTCTTCTTTGACTTGTTAAGAAGATTTTAGATCTTCCTTCCTTCCTCCTGTTTGATCTGAAACAGGGTTTTATTTACTCACTGAGATTGTCTGTTTTCTCCAGGTGCATTTGGCAGTAATACACATGAAGTGAAGTCAGTATCAGTGATGGAGGGAGATTCTGCCACTCTAAACAATGATGTTAACGTACAGAGAGATGATCTGATACTGTGGATGTTTGGACCTCAATACACTCGTATAGCTGAAATCAATAAGCAAGTCATTGATATATTTAACAGTAATGTGAAATTTAGATACAGACTCCAAATGAACAGTCAGACTGGATCTCTGACCATAAGAAACATCAGAACTGAACACTCTGGACTTTATAAACTAGCCATCTTCAGCAGCAGGGGAACTACATACAAGAATTTCAGTGTTACTGTCTATGGTAAGTAAACTGATTATCATGATAATCCAGACTGTTTGCTATATTGTGAGTTCACCACCAGAAGTCAAAGGTGAAAACAGAAATTACTGTAAAATTTCAACACATTGTTCATTTTGCTTGTATTGACACAAGAATATTTCTGCCATGACAACTCTCGGAGAGATTAGCATGGTAATATACATGGCAATGTTAATGTGTTTTATATTCGTGGAATAGATCTGCTACGCTAATACATCCACAGATATGCTGCTGCTGCACATATAACATATATTAATTTGCCCCCCAATAAAGCAGGAGACAAAAGAAATGCAATACCAAGAAATGCAAAAGCCAATACATGCATACTGCTAAGTGTAAGAAAACAAGCAACTGCATGAACAGTTTAATTCGCGGCAGTTAGCTTGTCGGTTATTTGCTGACAAGATACTCAACTACTCATCCACAACGCTGCGTGTTGCATTAGTGCGGACATATCTTACTATAACATGTCATATAGCCTATAACACGCTTTCACATGTTTATTCTTTTAATATTTTGGGAGCAGTAAAGTTTACATATTGTCACGGTTGGTGGTAGTGTGAAGAGCATGGCGCAAGGAACGAGGAGACCAGGAATACAAAACAAAGGCGTTTATCTAATTCAGGGACTCACACATAGCACAAAGAGTTGACATTGACATACAATTCCAGACAAGGGAGAACTGAACGGGCTAGAACTAAATAGGGTAGATAACGAGGGCCAGACAGGTGATGGGGATAACTAATAACAAGAACAGGTGATACTAATAATGTGAAAAGGAACTGGAAGGACCCAATAAGGAAAACAGGAACTCAACAGGAACATACACATGACACATATGTGGTTTCATTTACATTTAATCATTTAGCAGACACTTTTATCCAAAGCGACTTACAAATGAGGACAATAAAAGCAGTCAAAACTAACAAAAGAGCAACAATATATAAGTGCAAATGACAAGTCTCGGTTAGCCTAACGCAGTACACGTAGCAAGGTTTATGTTTTTATATATATATATATTATACACACATATACACACACACACAAAGAATAACAAGTAGATAGAATAGAAAAAATAGAAAGCCAGTGTTTGTTTGTTTGTTTGTTTTTTGGGGGGGTTATAAAAAAAAAGAAGATAAATATAGATAAAGTAGAATTAAAATAGAATAGAAAGTGCTAGAGTTAGAGGGTCAAATAAAGGTGGAACAGATGTGTTTTTAGTCGTTTCTTGAAGATGGGTAAGGACTCAGCTGCTTGGATTGAGTTGGGCAGGTCATACCACCAGGAGGGAACAGTTAATGTAAAAGTCTGTGAAAGTGATTTTGTGCCTCTTTGAGATGGCACAATAATATGCCAAGCTTCTAGAGGGCACATAACTCTGAAGTAATTAGTTTAGGTAAATGGGTGCAGAGCCAGTGGTGGTTTTGTAGGCAAACATTAATGCCTTGAATTTAATGCGAGCAGCTACTGGTAGCCAGAGCAAATTTATGAACAGAGGTGTGAATGAAAGCAAGGCAGTCTCGGTCGAATGTCCACTTCTGAAGCCAGATTGGTTGCTGTTCAGGAGGTTGTTCTGTGTGAGAAAGGCTGAGACTTGGTTGAACATAACTCGTTCAAGTGTTTTTGCAATGAAAGGTAGAAGGGAAATCGGTCTGTAGTTCTCTAAAAGAGTTGGGTTAAGAGTCGGTTTCTTAAGAAGTGGGGTTATACGAGCCTGTTTAAATGTTGAGGGAAAAACACCAGTGTGAAGGGATGTGTTAACGATGTGAGTGAGTGCAGGTACAATGGCAGGAGAAATGGCTTGAAGGAGATGAGATGGAATAGGATCAAGCGGACAAGTAGTAGGATGATTGGAAAGGATGAGTTTAGAGACTTCTGCCTCAGAGAGTGGAGAGAAGGATGAAAACGAGTGTATGTTTGCTTGGTTTCAACAGCCAGATACATTTATACTTGTCCAGTTTCATCTGGAATGCATCCCAGACCATCCCCTGAAGTGGTTTGAGAGATCAGATTTAAATCCATCTCGAAAGCATTTCAGAGGGCATTTACACCTGGGGTCACATTTATAAAACTCTCCGTAGATTTCATCCTAAAAGTGTACGTAGACACAAAAGCTAGATTTTGCGTAAACTCCAAAAAGTTTTCAGATTTATAAAACCATGCGTACGCCAGAACCTGCGCAAAAATCTCTTTATAAATCCCAGTCAGGGTAAGATTGTGTGTACGTGCATCTCCACCCCGACTCCTCCCCGAAATCACCATATATGGAGATTACAACGCCTAGTTTTACTATGCATAACCTCATCTGCATATCATTTCTATGCATATTCCCATCCACGTGACACCATGTTTAACACCGTCAACGGTACAAGACATTAAGGAATATGAGATACGGACTATAAATGCCATTTGTGCCATACACATAAATCTTTATTGCTAAAAATCATCCGGTATCCTTATGTTTTAGAATAAATATATCAAAATATTAATAAAAAACAGTTTAAAATAGTTCTCAGAATACTGAGTTCCACTGGCCCATTAATATTTCAAATTTTTTATTTTTTTTAATTATAATAAATTAATGCAGTTTTGCTGATAAGGTAAACATCTTTTAGCTATTTTTAGTGGAAAAATATAGGCCTATATTTATTGCAGTGTAAATACAATTATCTGACTCTGAATCTATCATTGACAAATTATTTTAAAAAGGAAACGTGCAAATCTTACCGTTTTCTTCAAGTTGTATCTTTCAGATACAGTGGTATTTTTCATAATGTTGTGGAGATGCCTTCACATGACATCAACACTTCCGTGCAGCTGTGGTTGTACAGCTATTGTCAATGGTCCTATTCAAACCGGACAATACCGTTCCACCAAATCCAGCAGTGTCCGCCATAATATCGACGTAAGTGCGTATCATTGATCATTGTTCTCGCTAAAAATATTTTCTCTTAACATGAGATGTGCAGTTTACTTTAAAGATAAATTATTGTGCACCTACAGTACGCCTCGCTGTCATTAAAACATAACATACCACAGGAAAAGTAATCAAGCGCATCCATTACAAATAGGCTATGTCTAAATTCATATAATTTTGGTTTAACTTCTGCGTAATGACTTTAAGTAATTTCAGTGCTTATCTCCATTAATGAGAGTGGAATATTTAGTGTACATGTTGTTTTACGGTGCTAAATTTCCTACACCTTCTACCTTATTTTATTTATTCTCAGGTTAGGTCAAGCAAGTCAAATCTGTCCTATCTCATAAGCATTCAAATGTTCATATTTACAAAATAGATCACAGAAGACTTCTCCATGGTCTGTTCTGCTCAAGTTTAGAAATCACTTTTGGCAGGCGAGCTTCTTAGTTATAGTTAAGTATAAGTTTATTGTATATAGGTTAAATATGTTACAAACAAAATACTAATATAAAAAACAGAAATAAAAACAAAGATATATTATTTGCAAGCTCGGTTGTTTAGAGGCTTCAATGGCAAGGCCGCCGGCACCGGAGAAGCTGTCACACAGAACCAATAAATTTGCTCAATAAATGCTTTAAAACAATTACAATATAACGTGTGGTGTCTTTCTTAATAAACCACTTTCCAAATAAAAACAATTACAATATAACGTGTGGTGTCTTTCTTAATAAACCACTTTCC